TTTTCAAGAAACGCAAATCAGCTGGGTGTGGTGGCTCACACCTGTAATCTCAGGACTTTGGGAGGCCCAGGTGGGCAGATCTCTCAAGGTCAGGAGTTTGAGATCAGCCTGGCCAACATGGCGAAACCCCATCTCTACTAAAAATACAAAAAATCAGCTGGGCATGGTGGCAGGTGCCTGTAATCCCAGCTACTCGGGAGGCTGAGGCAGGAAAATCGCTGGAACCTGAGAGGCAGAGGTTACGGTGAGCTGAGAGGACACCACAGCACTCCAGCATGGGTGACAGAGGGAGATTCCATGTCAAAAAAAGAAAAAGAATATGGGAATTGGGCTGGTTGCAGGTAGCTCATGCCTGTAATCCCAGCATGTTGGGAGGCCGAGGTGGGAGAATCGCTTGAGCTCAGGTGTTCCAGACCAGCCTGGGCAACACAGTGAGTCCTCATCTCTACAAAAAAAATTAAAAATTAAAAATTAGCCGGGCCTGGTGGCACATGCCTGTAGTCCCAGTTATTTGGGAGGCTGAGACAGGCAGATTACTTGAGCCCAGGAGGTCGAGGCTGCAGCGAGCTGTGACTGCACTCCAGCACTCCAGCCTGGGCCACAGAGTGAGATCCTATCTCAAAAAGAAAAAGAATATAGGAATCACTGTTTGAACAGACGATGGATGGATAGCAGAGATGAGATGACATGAGTCTAAAAGCGGGATTTGGGGAGGGTCTCAAAAGAGAGCCTGAGTCCTGGGATGCCCTGCCATCCAGAGGCTGTTTCCTACCTGCCAATCCCAGCCAATCTCGCTGCCAACGCAGCCTCGGTCCATCGTGAGGCCTCCACCTCATTCCTTTTCGGTGAAGCTTGGTGTGGGGTCACGTTCTGCGTCGGTACCTGCGTCAACAAGGAACCAATGTCCTGAGACACTCTCGTGGCTCTAGAGAAATTCTACCTAAATTCTACCTAACTTCACCCTGAAACAAGCCCCATGACTGACGTCCCATTTTCCACACAAGTTTATGACGCTCCCTTCCCCACAGGGAATATAGAGAACAGAACATAGAAGAGGGAGGGGATGATGTAAGTGGAAACCAAAGCTAAAGTGAGGGGAGTACTTGGAACCAGAAGACACGGGGAAGGGGGAGCAGATTCTCTCTATTGGAATTGAGCAAGAAAACCCTCCCCTTTCCACTGGAAAATAACGTTTGCATTATTTAAGTGGCAAGGGTAAAAACTGCAATCAGGTCGGGCACGGTGGCTCATGCCTGTAATCTCAGCACTTTGGGAGGCTGAGGCAGACGGATCACTTGAGGTCAGGAGTTTGAGACCAGCCTGGGCAATATGGCGAAACCCCATCTCAACAACAACAACAACAACAATTAGTTGGGCATCGTGGTGCACACCTGTAGTCCCAGCTACTCTGGAGACTGACATACGAGAATCACTTGAACCCAGGGGGTGCAGGAGGTTTCAGTGAGCTGAGATTGCACCACCGCACTCCAGCCTGGGTGACACAGCGAGACTCTGTCTCAAAACGAAACAAAGCAAACAAAATACTGCAATCACAGAAAATACAAGAAAAAAGCATAGGTGAATGTTGAACAATTTCTAGATGGTGAAAGAATGATTACTCGTGAAAGCAATTCAATACATCAGGCCAGGTGCGGTAGCTCGTACCTGTAATCCCAGAACTTTGGGAGGCCGAGGCAGGTGGATCACCTGAGGCCAGGAGTTCAAGATCAGCCTGGCCAATATGGCGAGACTCTTGTCTCTACTAAAAATACAAAAATTAGCCAGGCATGGTGGCGGGCGCCTGTAGTCCCAGCTACTCGGGAGGCTAAGGCAGGAGAATCACTTAAACCTGGGAGGCGGAGGTTGCAGTGAACTGAGATTGTGCCATTGCACTCCAGCCTGGGCAACAGAGTAAGACTGCATCTCAAAAAGAAGAAAAAAAAAAAAAGTTGCTGGAATTTTCTATATACACATAGCTTCTGAATGACAAACAATGGAACAAAAGTAAGAGGTAAGTCTGGGGAGATAGCTGCCAAAAATATATACATACATGTAATACATACATTTAATAGATATATTTATATATGTATTATATGTAATATGTGTACATATAGTTAATATATGTATTATGTATAATACATATATACATAATACATATTATATATATTAGACCTATAATGAGCTAGTCATTGTTCTCTGCTGGATTTGTACTCAAAGACAAGCACATAATTTTTCTCTCATTGAGATTTCTCTTCCAGGACTGTGTCTGGGCTACGAAGATGAGAAAAAGAATGGTGAGTTTTCTCCCACTTAAACTTTATTTATTCCTGCATCCCATACTTCATGACCTTTTCCTTTAATCGTCTGAATTCTAGACTCAAATTAACTCTGAATTCTTTCCAGAGAAACTGCCCAAGCCCTCCCTCCACGCCCGGCCTAGCTTGGTGGTTGAAGCCCGGAGCAACGTGACCCTGAAGTGTCAGGCTCCTTCCAAGAATGTGACATTCATTCTGCTCAAGGTGAATGACTCTGGGTACAAGCAGGAACAGTTCTCGACAGAAGACGAAGCTGAATTCCACTTCACGGACCTGAAGCTTAAGGATGCTGGGAGCTACTCTTGTGCCTATAAGACAACAGCCTCCCATGAGTGGTCAGAAAGCAGTGAACACTTGCAACTGGTGATCACAGGTGAGAAGGGTAGCCTCAGATGTGCTCCTTGATGCACACATTTCTTCGGTTTTGCTTTGCTTTTTTT